CGCCCTTCCAAGACGGTATAAGCATTGAAACCATTTCTTCGGGTTATGGTTTCTATCAATGAAATGTATTACAGAAATATTCTCATAAATAACCTCACTGTTATAACACAAAGTGATAAAAAGTCACGCGTAGAAGCCTGTTGTACACCACTGAAAAAAAAAGTTCTCCACAGCCTGGCTCCAAACTCACATCTCATTCAAACCAGTGCTATGTCTACTGCTGGAGATAGAATGCTTGATTACCTGGGCCACATGGTTAAACGCCTGTCTTTGCGCATCCGTAGGCACAGTTCTATTTGACTGAGAAGTGTGGCAATCGAGTCAATCAGAGGTGCGGTCGTCTTGGACTTGGAGGACAATAATCATATCTTTAATCCAACTGAAGCGGTCTTCTCCTAGACACAGTTTAAAATAAACTGTCTAAGCACAAGGGGATTCATTTTCCAGCCGTGACCAGGGCAGTCGACACTCAGCCTTCACAACACTCCACTTTATGGTCCTTAAAGCAATTTTTAGAGATATTTAGGCACTCGTGGTCGGACTACTGAAACGTTACCCCCTTGAAGCAATAGAAACAAATGATAAAAAAATCTGTAAAAGAAACCCGCATCTAATGGGAGGAGGAATACAGATTTACGGTGTTTAACTTTCAATTTAAGTTACCTTTCCCTCCTAGTAAACCACTTATCTTCAGTTAGCTAACAAAGTATTCTTTTGCACCGACCTGATTTGTGGAAGTCGAAAACTTGCTTGCTGGTCGCTTTGTATAGTCATCTCGTTTTCTGTGGTACTGTTCAGATAATTTAAAATGACAGTTTCTGGTTATATTTGAGTATGCCTAGAAATGTTTACTTTCATTCCTCAGACATTTGCTAGTGGAAGGGACAACGAGTCCATCACGTAAATCAGTACCAATGGTGTGCTTTCAAAATTTAGCGGAGGTCAGCAGTGACCAAACATTTACCTCATGAACAATTGAACTCTTCACCGAAAGACTTTTTGGTTTACAGGAGTCCAAGAGGGTGCACAAACCAAAAAATTTCCCGTCGGGTAAAAATATTTATTTCATAATGTGGAGATTATTTTATACAGAATAAAAACACTACCTGGATATATTTTCAGTCAAAATTTAGTTTCAATGTTCCACAAATATCTGTTTTGTCGCGATCAACGCAGGACTAGGATGCATCACAACAGTAGAAAATCCCGCATCCATTCATGTTAGCTCTTTCGTTCAACTTTGCTCTCCTCGGTTAGCCCTCAGCACACGCTCCGTCCATTCGAATTTGACGTTGATAAACGCGAATTTCACCGTAGTGTTCTGCTAAATTATTGTTTAATCACATGTTCCAATTTTCTGCAAAGAGTATTAACACAGACTATTTGTGCCAACACCTTTGGTCTAGTTACAACCATTGTCGTATCTACCATGCATTCTTTAGTGTATACTGTTTGCAAAACAAACCCTTTTATCAACCTCAACAAGGATTCTAAACAAAGAAAGATATTGGAAAATAGAACTATCCATGGAAATGCACACGATTTGTTTTATTTGCTTTATTTGTACTTGAATTTGCAATGCCTTTTCTATGTGGTACACAAAGAGTCATTATTTTCGTCGGGATGATATGCTTGTCCTATGATACCAGCTTGCTAATCCTGACATGGTCTGAATAATTGTCCACCGTTTACATCGCACTCTACCGAAACTCGTCATTTGATTATTCGGGTAATGGAGTCTAACGGTTGACTCATTCATGCGTCAGTTCTTTTCACTGTGTTCTTGGTGTATGGTTCAATATTCTGTATTATTAATGCAATCGGTTATCACCTGTGGCGGCGATGCACCGCCGAATTACGAAGCCATTCAGTTTAACGAGTTGGGGCTCGTCAGGGACGAGATACAATTGCAAGAGATTTTCCGAGTATCTTCGGTAATGTTAAAACATTTATCTTAGAGTTTCTGAGTGGAGACATTATTTTGTATAATCGAAATGAAACTAGATCTGTATTTTTCGTAATGATTTTTTTAATGATTGATCCACACTGTGGATATTAGTTAAAAGAAATTAACATTAGAACGAAAATGTTTGCTATGAATTTCAAGGTGGATGCGCTAGAAGAAAGTGGACGCATTCAGTTTAAAGGGACTGTAGCTCTGTCGATGAGGTGCGTGGTGAAATGCAACGTCTGTCACTCAACAGAACTGATTGAAACGGAGTAACTTTCAGCATGTGAAAGAATAAAAAGAAGTGGATAGCCCCACAATCAGTTTGTATCTACCGATACGGAAAGTAACGAATCGAACTGTGGCAAGAATCAATTATCTACATTGATCCTATATGGTTAGCTCCTAACAATTTTGGTAGATGTTTATTTTAAAAATATGTTCAGCTGAATGAACTGCTCTCTTTCAAGTAATGTTCACAATTTAATCCCAATGGCAAGTGATAAAACTAGATTGTGTCCCGCCCAGATAAAGCAAATGTAGAACTTAAGACAAATCATAATCTACTCCTCCAATTGTTATCCTCACAGTACTGAGGGATAGACTTACGGTGGCCAGCAAGGTAGTTATTGTCGGCTGTAAGTTGAGGAGGTTTTCAAAGCTGATACGCTCCGACCACGGACTTCTGACGGAAATTTCTGAGGTGAATTCCATCTGATCTTGCGGTCTCACCACTCCCACAACCCGGGCACTGGAGCATAAGAAAAACGAGAAAAGTGGTGCTGATTATTTGCTATGTATAATTTCCCAACCAAGTTTCCCATGGGGACATTTTCGATCGTTGACGGAATTAAATAAAACATCTGATATTTTGAATCGCGTACGACGTCCTCGGTAAATAATAAACCCCTAAATATGTGGCTTTACATTTTATTAGAAGGCTGTGGTGTAGTTACGCACATCTTTCAATGAAAGACATTTCTCTTGATAATATATATGTAACACATAAAAGAGCATTATTCTGAGCGATGCACATTAATTTTATGTCATGGATCCATCAACCTCATTATTTTGCATACATGCCTTACTCAATGAATACCTTGAGAGGATTGCTCCTCCTACGGTTACACTCATTGGTTGATTCAATGGCTTGCTCAGCTGAGAAGACAGGGTAACCAGGAGTCATTTATTTATAGTCAAAACTAGCAATTATTCGCCAATATCGTCTAAGATATGAGGCATAAATCAAAAACGCTCAACGAGTTAGCAGAAAGGAATAGTTCACACGTGGTGAGAATATATTCGAATGAAAGGGTTTCAGAAAGTTTGCAAATTAACTAAGCTCTACTCAGAGTTAGAATATTATTCCATCAGTGGTTAGCATTCTAAGCATTGGTTTACTGGTTCGTTTGGCTTGTTATGGGTTATCATAGTTGCCTAACGACTGGCTCCATTTAGATCAAAATCCGCACGCAACGTTCAGTGTGATGCTTTAGGGAATTGGTTTAATCCGGAACGGTCACTGAGGCCATGTCACATTTTATCTTTCTAATGATATGACGCGGCCTATCCGTTACAGCCATTTAAAGTACCGGATAAGATTTCTCGTCACATTTCGACTGAAACACAGAAGGAATTAAACATGAATTTCACATGAATTTGATAATATATTTTTCACAGTTAAAATTATCTTTCCTACATATATATAATGATATGTGAAATGAAGCCTAGTGATCGCAGTGATCTGTCGCATTGTCGCAGTGTCGCAGTGATCTGTTCGATGTCTGGTTGATATCATTTGTTGTTTCCAGCTTTCCTAGCCTTGCTTTTGAACAACAGGTCAATACAAGCGAATACAAAACTACGGACTCACGTGTATACTCTTCCAGGATGTATATCTTTGCTCTCTGTCAAGCATATCTCGTTCTTCAGTCCCGCGTTGGCAACCCGGGAAGGTAATGTCCAGTATCCGTCCTCTATGGGGAGAAACGCCGCTCCTGCACGCACACCAGCATCCCTTCTAATACGTAAAGTTGATCCACGATCTGTGGTTGATTTTAGCATGCGCAGTTCGATTTCGAAGTTTACAATCTGAGCGGCAACATTTCGGTCGAAAATTTTCCACAATAGATGAATTCCGGTGGTGAAATTTGCTACGCGTTTAACAATTGGCATTGAAACTGAAGACATAGAACAGTGAACAGCGTTTTACTACTTATGAGTAACAAACACATGGTCACTACAAAATGCAATGACTTCATTCATCATGAAACTGACTTGGAAATTCCCTCTCCAGAGCTGATTTGACACGGGAAGAAATATCTTGTATGTTCGAAATTTCACCCAAAACAGTTTGAGTTTTAAACTGATCGGTTTTGGTTTGTACCGGGCTCAAAACATTGGTTGTGCTCTCCTTTAATTGTTCGACCGTGGCCACATCTCGGGCAGATTCTGAAGGGAAAATCAAAATAAACTGAAGATCAAATAGCTCGTTTTGAACTAACATCTACATACAGACATACAATACTGGTGATGGGACTCCTTCTTCATAAGTTTTTATTAGATATCCGAAGAAAAGTTCTACAATATTTTCTCATTCTTTTTTATTTGAAGCTCGTCTTGATTTATAATGATGTAGGGAAGGGGATGAGTTTCTTGTTTTGAGCATCTTTAGCAGTATTCCAGTTTGGCGTATTTTGGCCCACAATCTGCAAGTAATACGGTCAGTGCATTTCAAAATTTACAATTTAAATTAGGGGTATTTTGCTTATTAACTAAATAGCAACTCAAATTTAATGATTCGTAGGTCTCCCTTCAATCAAATGTTCTCAACATTTGTATAAAATGTGAAAGTCTGGATTTGAGCCTTCCTTTAAATGATTGTATTGTATTTATGGGAATACAAGCCACCATTTGAATGTCGGGCGGTAGACGATTCTGCAGTCGTCCGCGTCAGTACCACCGCCTAGCTACTGGGACCTTATGTGTTTCGCCACTCCAAGTTCCAGGGTTAGATTACCGGTTACATCTAACTCACTATGACTAATAAAACGAACAGAATCACTTTTCATTGGCACTCAATAACGTTCGCCGCTTGAATCACATTATCGATTCTGAAAATCAATTTATTCAGTCCGCTTCCCCTCTTGTGCAATTTTTATCCGAAACACAAATTCCTCCTTCTCCAGACACCACCCATTTTCAGTTTCCTAGTTATTCTCTTCACATTTCGTTCATTCCTAAGATTAGTATTTGTGCTTTCATCCATCATTCAATTGCTTCTACCCCATTCTCCCAATTAAATCTCACTGACGGCGAGTTCAAGACTGGGGCTGAAAATTCGGTTTCCTAATTGCGATCATTACTTCTGCACTGTGGTACCGTTCCCCAAATAGTAATGACTCTTTACTCTTTGATGTTTTATCAGTTCAGTTCAGTTCCTACATTCAACAACCGTGCACTTACGTGCGCCGGTTTTGTTGTTATTTTTAAGTTGTCCATTTTGACAGAAGAGCAGAATGAAGACTTTGATGTGAGGAGTAAATTCAAGCAGAAGATATCGAATTTATATTAANNGAGAATAGTAAGCAGATCCATGATTGCCATTGTTTGAGACATCCAGCCATATCACTCAGTGTATCTTACCATCGGTGACCATCATCTCGAGGTCCCCAGTCAGGAGGCATAACGCGACCTATGTGACCTTATCTCCTGGTTAGGGTATTCATACTCTGACACCAGGTCTTAGTTTGACCGTCCTTGACGTTTTCTAATCCCTACCTGCCTCAACAAACATCGCTTGGCATGGCAACCTATCAGGTGGCCTGAATAAAACATGTACCAATCAGTGTAATCTATGGAGGTTGACCACTTGCTCCAGTGGACGACCTCGGTTACTCAAAGCTATACGCATAACCTCAGTATTAATTGTCCCGTTACCCCACCAGACTCGTGCAATGGAACGTAAACAGCGGTGTTCGAAACCCAACAATCTGTGTTTATCTTGTTCACGTAATGACCAAGTTTTTGCACCGTAGAACAGGACTAGCCGAACTGCTGTGGCACATGCTCGATCCTTCGCAGGCAGCCGGGGGTCGCGACGGCGCCACAAATGTCTCAAGTTGGCAAATGCCAACCGAGCCTTTTCTATGCGTGCCGACAATTCATCTGTGATGCGTCCGCCAGGTGAATTATAGCTGCCTAGATAGCAAAATTTGTCTGCTTCCTCTACTACTTCCCCAATCAGGGTGAGGTTGGGGGCTGGACCAACCCAATCTTGTAGCAATATTTTAAAATTTGGAGGTGTAAAATGAATACCGAACATGGCTTTGCTAGCACTCAAACTATCCAGAAAAACTTGCAACTTAGCTGGGTATTCACTTATCAGCACAATTTAGTCTGCATACTCTAGATCAGACAGTCTGCCAACGGGAGTAAATCGATACCGCTATCCTCGCACGAGGATAGGGCTGCGTCAAGAATTAAATCTACTACATAACTGAATAGAAAAGGAGAGAGAACGCAACCCTGTCGAACACCACTTTCTGTAGTGAACTCGAGTGAAAATGTGCGTAATCTCGGACTCGGCTTGTTAGAGACAGTTAATCAAAATAATTCCTCTGGGTATTTCACAAATCTGCCTTCTGTCTTGTAAGTCGGTAGGAATCGCACGACTCTTTTGGGATCTGCTTGTTCTCTCACACTGATCCCAGGAGTTTTGTTAACTCTAAAACCTAGACTGAACCTCCAACCTTAAGTCCGACGAAGATAGCCCCTTTCGGAGTTGGAGGCTTTATACCTTTTGAGAAAGTTTATTTCCTGGGTAACTTCCATTTCAGGTGAACTGATGTCAACTGGCAGTATTTGCACAGTTGAATCGGGTATTAGGAGGTCTTGTTCTGACTAGGGCGAACTGAACCGAGCCTTAAAATGTTCGGCCCAAGGTACAGGACGGCGTTCCTGAATTTGAATCAGTGTGCCTCCGCATCCCTAATTACCCTAATTACGCCTAATTTCCTTAGTCCTGCAGTCTTAATCAAACGAAAAAGATTGAGGTAATTGCCGATAGCCGCAGCGTTCTCCATCTCTCTACACTTCCCTACCAACCACTTCTCGCGGTCATTCCTCAGACTGGCGTCCAAGGGATTTGCGCGCTGTGTCATAGTTTGANAGTTTGAATCCGAATGAATGGATTGGCGAGCGTCCAGCAAGGTAATCGAGGTCGGGGAGATGAATAGTTTTTTTTACTTCATTCTGTGTTAGAATCTGCCGTTGTTTTGATGGACCTTTCGATTGCTTCCTTTATTATCGTTCAGTGTTCTCTAACTCCTTCGGTTGAAAGTTGAGCTGAGAGGCGAACACTGTTGAAGCAAACCGCAATGCTCAATTCACAGTTTTAAGTGATTGGCTGTTACACTCCTCATGGACATCACTCCTTGAACATGAAGCAGAATCACTTGCCCCAATTAAACAGCCTTCACCAACTGGTTGATTCCCCACCCACTGTGCTAACGACCAGGCTCATAACCCCGATCTCGTCCTATTATCCAATCCACAACTATTTTCAAATGTTGCAGCAACTCCTTCCCTGAACTCATCGGGCTATTTTCTTAATTCGCTCTCTACCCAAATTATGTGTTCCGCTAGTTTCTCTCACTTCTAGGCGCACATTCTGGGGATACGATTCCGCTGATTGGTGCAGCTTTCGGAACTTTTGGCGTCCTATCCCTGGAATGAATGGTTCTACTTCCCGATGTCATTCGGCTTCGAAGTTTCAAAGTTCTTTTGCAAGGCATGCAGATTTTTATTCTTCATTTCATTAAACCAGGCAAGCCTCTTTCTCCAGAAGGGTTTAATCAAGCCTGTTGTCGCGCTGTTCGCAAAACGAAAGCAGCGTTCCGCCGGTGGCCTCGTTCACCTTTCTCCAGCTTCCGCCAGTCGTTCTTGTAAACACGCAACAACTGCACAAGCATCATACAGAAGGCTAGGAAGCACTTTGTTGAGCGCAAAGCAGCACAGTTAATAGCCGCTCCTTCTGGAAGGTGAAGATTCTGATCACGCTCCAAGACAGTTTCCTGTAACTTCTGTTCCACTAACTTCCCACCAATTGGTAAACCATCAGGTGAATTAGTATCTGAACCTCTTGGAATGGCCAATGTTTTGCCTTCCATTTTGCTTCCAGTTCTACTCTACATGAATCACTCATTCAACGTTAAACATATCCTATGGCGGCCCATCTTTCCACACTATTCATTTCCCCCCAGAAATTTACGTCAGATCCTCTTATCGCTTCACTAACACAGGGCACCTGTACCCGACGGGATTCCTCCCATCGTCTTCAAAATGTTCACCTCAGAACTGGCTCCTCGCATACTACAATTATTCTTTTTATCCATCGATTATGAGTTACTGTATTGAGAATGTCACCTCAATGGTTGATGAAACGTGTGCAATACAATTGCTAAGCTCGGCGAACAAGTCAACATCAAGTTGTACTACCCAAGCTACAAAACACAACAATTGACACCGTTGTTTACAAAACTGTCATTCTGAAATATCCCCAGCCTCATGGAAAATATCATAAATATTTATCATCCCCAAAGGTGGCGACCAATAAGATCCAAACAACTACTTCCCTATTTCTCTCACAGCAGTTATCTCGAAGGTAATGGAAATAGTTGTTGCTGATCAACTCCGCCACTACCTGGAGCAGAACAAGAGCCTTAGAGACCGTCAGTACGGTTTCCGATCCCATCGATCTATATAACGACGATCTTCTGGCGCTCATTTCGCACACCTGGTCAGCGGAACTCGATAATCACGGATAAACGCATATGGTGTCAATGAATATGAATGAAAACTTTCGATCGTGACTGGCACGCCGGTCTGCTGGCTAAGTTACCTGACTTTGGCTATCCCTCGGAACTTGTTTGCTATCTCAAGAACCGCAGCATTTCCGTTCGAGCAGATGCAACCATGTCTCGTTCATTGACTGTAAATGCTGGTGTTCTCCAAGGTTCTGGTTATCGATAGGATTCTTTGTTCACCTTCAAATCCTATTTTTCATTTTTTCTTTTCATTTTACTTCCTTTTCTTGAATATACAAGGATACAATTTTCAGGAAGAGGGAAGCGGCCAATCAACGGCTGCCATTCAACGCACACAATGGGGGAAGTCAGGCGGTGGTGGTGAGATCCGAACACACATCTCCGGGGTGATAATTTAGTGACTTTACCACCTGACTACCTGGTATAGATGAATTTTGGTAAACGTTTATTCAAGATGAAATTTGGAGGATTTCAAAGGGTGGAGAGGGATGGGAACGACAAAGTATCAGTTCTGTGTACAATGGGTGGTCAAGATGTGAGAAATTCGTGTAATACTCTGAATGTTTCAAAGGTATTCCATTCATAAAAATAGAGGAAACGTGGCTAATAGTAATTAGACTGGGGCGTAGGACTTTGAAATCTGGTTTTGGTTAGTCAGGGCAAATAACTGAGGGTCAAAATGTCAAATGTGTAGGACACACTAATTTAAAAAGGTACGAATACCTGACTGAGATGCGTAAGACTGCATGAAATTTCGAATTTGATATGACAAACACCGTAGTTTACTAATGCATTCGTGGATGTGATTCAACCAACAAAGACTGCTATCCATAGTTAAACCAAGAATTTTGACAGAGTTCACCCTAGATAAATGATCGTTATTTATCACTGTGGGGTCTTTCGGATATGAAGAGCATGCCAAACTATATAAACATTCAACACTTACTGGAGTTTAAGCCTAGCCCCGATAAGGGACAGAATGACTGAATTTAAGTAATATTGTCAGTAAAGGAACATATATCGGAGGAAGAAGAACTAGAATGACGCGGCACAGCATTATCTGCATATTTCATAACACGTGCGGGGAAAAACAAGAGTAATATCAAAAAGGTACGTATAGAACAAGTATAAGAACAGCACATTCCCTTGAAGAACTCCGATGTTGTTAACTGATGGTTTGCATGAAGCATTTATCAGTCTAGTGGTTTGTTCTCTATCAGTTAAATAGTTAAATAGCCAAGCTAACAACTGCTTGCGGCACTGAAACGATTCCAGTTTCTATAAAAAATGTGATCGAGAAATGGAATAAAGCACTGAAAAATGGTCAAAAAACACCCTTAAACACTTAACCGAGTCGTTCAAAGACAATGAGAAAATAAATAAGAAAGGATATTGCTTCTGAAGTGGATCTATAAGGCTTGTAAGCAAGCTGCAGAGGATCATTAGGAATAATTATAGACTGCTATATTCGTTTAAGGGTATCCTTTTGAATCAACTTTAGAGCAGAATATGTTCGATTTAAAAAATGTCTGAAGAGGATAGCATATTTGGATAATTTGGGGATTGGTATGCTCGTGACCGGCCCCCCCCCCCACGGTCGGGGATGGCAGAAGTGCAAATAAATTCATTTACTCAATAATGCGATCAAACATAGACAGATCCAATGATTCGATCACCTTCGATTGCATTTATCTTTTTTAATGTACTTGCGATTCGCGGTATGTCGGAAGGACTGAACGCCTACTGTCGACCAGAATGAGTGAACATGTTCCGAATAACTTATTACTTAGGAGAGGAAAGCTTCCAGCAAGCGCAGTGGCACGACATTTGCTCGATACCGGGCACTGCATCGACAAACGCAAAGCTTTCCGCGTTGTGCTCAAAGTTCGAAGCCCAAGGATGCTTAGGTTTGCTGAAACGGTTGTCATTAGCCATTTAAAGCCTGACCTATGCGTGCAAAAGGCCTTTGTTATTCAGTTGTTATTACCATGGTAATTCCCCTTCCCTTTCCTTCTAATCATCGTTCTCATCATCGTTCTTCTACATCATCGTTGACACTTCGCTCTTCTCATTTTCTTATTACGCAACTCTATTTGACCTACTTGATCGAACATTTTATTTTACTCGGTGAACTTTCTGTGTCTATTCGAATTCATTTCTGGTTGCATCTTTTTCGTATTACGTAACCATGTCTAACTTTCTTTCCACCATTGCTAATCGGTTTCCATTACGTAACTGTCTTCTATGCTAACATTCCCCACCCCTCCTCCTCTTTTACTCATACTCAAATGACTTTGATAATGACTCAACCACTCAGTGCCTTCTGCTTGACCCCATGTAATTGTAAATGTCCATATATGGTATTCGTATGATAAAATTTGACCTATTTAATGTGCGTAGACAGCTGACTGAGAGCACGCGAAATTGATGATCAATATCAATTCTGCTCATATTGTGTTACTTGTTTTATTCAAATGGATCAAAGGGAAAGGACGTTTCCGCAACTTAGTTGACAATGTATGTAATTGACTCAGCTAAGGAAGCAGCACAAAATTTGAGGATTACTGTAGTTAAGTCATCCGGGCCTGTTGCAAAGGACAAATTACAACTATTTAAAAGTCTTGACATTTCACAATTTGACAATGGTTCCTCATTGTGTGACGAGTAGTAGAAAGAATATCCGACAGCTGGCAAAGGAATGCGGCATTGAGATCATAACCATCAACATCCGGCTTCAACCAAACTTTTTTCTTTCTTCTGAAACGTTTCCACAGGGGTTCATTGTTTCCAGTCCTCAGAGTTTGATCGAAGAATAATGCGTTCAATCTATTTACTACAGCTTTGATAAGCCTGAACAGATACCTGACAGCTGAAGCATTCTGAGATTTGTATGCACTATCCTTTTGTCATGGAAGCGACTTTAGTAGGGGAGAGCTTATCCTTCCGTTGGACACGTACACACTTAACGGGGTAGTAAGAATTATAAATGACACTGATTGTTTGGGTGAAGAGGAGGACACAATAATAGATAAGAAACAGATAATGAAAATCACAAAGAACCTTATTCAACAGATTCACTGAGCAGAGAAACATTCGTGGTTTAATAATTGCGAAAACTAATTTTGATGTGGTCAGATTTTAAGAAATATTTATACGCAGTACAAATAGACTTTGGGTGAAACTAAAAGTAAGCTGTGGTCGCAGGTGCTTTAATGCTGAATAAAAGGGTTGGGTTGTTGGTGGATACTCTGTCCAGTAGAGTTACCTCTTGTGGGTGAGTGACAAAGATCTGTCACACCTAATGGTAAAAGAGGATATGTATTATAATGGTTAAAGTCGCCAAACATTTTGCGCAAGCTGACATCTAAAACTGGGGCAATAAAACTAACAAGGAAATCGGAAAACGATATATGCTCTAATTGTGTACGAATAGATGCTAAATACAAGTTAGTGAACGTTGTGTACGTAAAATGTGAAAACCTTGAATGACATTGCATAGTTAGGTGCTCAATAACTTTAAAGTAGTACTGAAAAATGACATGGGACTTGCCACATTCTTCCATTCTTCTTGCCTCTTGTCGGTAGACTTCAAAACCGTCCTTCGACACCAAGTGCGTTCTGATATCGTGATTATAGCAGGAGATATGAATGCTAGAGTAGGTTGGCTGACTTCTAGTGGGGCGCATCTGGGTGGTCTTTGTGGACTGGTTTCCTGTAGCTGAAAAAACGGGGAACGGCTGTTGGCTCTGTGTTCTGACCACAGATTATTCCCCGCCAGTAAAAACGTCAGACGCTCCAACTAACGATACGCCATTTGGCGTCCACGCTTCTGGAATCAGCGACAAACACAGATCGATCAAGTCGCTATAAGTCACACATGGCGGGGTTGTGTACAAGACTGCCGATCCTACTGGAGCACCACTTTCGCAGCTGGTCATGCGTTAGTTCGCACCGAGCTGTCCATGTNCGGTGGGCGTCTTAAACGTACAACACAGCGGTGGTTAGATTGCGATAAGTTGTCTCAACCAGTATGCTTAGCAGTCTTTCAAAACCCGTTAGGTGGAACGCTAGAACCCACCCTACCCGAGAATCAAGAATGCTGTTCATTCTGTTGGTTTAGTTAGTTGTGGTTTGACACGCCGTGTCCTGACAACCTGGATTTCAGCTGATTCTCTGCGCCTTCTTGACGCCCGTCGGTCACTTCCTACCGGCAGGGAGCATAACGTAACACGGCTTATAGTGAGCCGTGCACTTA